CTCAATAGTTCTTCATGTCTGGCTAGATGACCTGCGAGTCTCATCCTCCGTTCAGCTATCTTATCAGATGCTCTGATGAGGTGTCCATACACCTTGGCGTTAGTCTGCCGCTCTTTCCAGTCAATGTTCAGTGCCATCCTCAGCATTCTCGTATAACATCCATCAATACGTTTTGCGAGGGTCTGGCTGACAGTCCATGTTTCAGAGCCATATAGAAGGATGGACTCGACTGTAGCCAGGAACAGTCGTATCTTGAGATCTCTACGCATATCCGACTTCCATACAAGCTTCATCTGGTGACACGCTCCCCATGCCTTAGCTTTCCTCACTTCGAAGTCCTTCTCCGAACTCTTCATTCTACTACCCAAATATACAAAGTCATCGACTTTCTCAATGTTCTTCCCACTCCCAGCAACCAGAGTCGGGTTATCATCATCTCTTATGTTGATTCCCATGTACTTAGTTTTCCCCTCGTTGAGGTGGAGTCCAACTGAGTTGGCCGCCAGTTCCAGACTCCTGAGGAAATCTTGTGCCTCCGCAACACTATCTGTTATAAGAGCAAGGTCGTCAGCAAAGTCCGCATCAGTGACCTTGACTGCCGGATAGCGACGGCTTCTTCTAGGGTGTAGAGTAAACCCAAAGTCCCTACCCTCTAGGGACACCCTCATAATGTAGTCAATTACGATAATGAATAGGTAGGGCGCCAAAGTGTCTCCCTGCATCACTCCTGCTAGAATGACCCTAACGTCTGTCACAAATACGCACCAACTAAACACCTAGGTCAATAATCACTTGCCACAAACAATGCTCCCTCAATTATTCCTCTCAAGACTCCCCATAGTCGTTGAAAAGCTTCAGTTTAGTATCACATCAATAACAAGATAACTCGTCTACTCCTGTCAATACCGACCCAATACGTCTCTCTCTCTCCCAGATACACTGCCTAATCACCTTAGTTGATATCTTAATACGAACCCTATGATCACCAGGCTATATAACGTATGAATAGTAAACAAACTAGAATTACACTAATGATGCAGCAGCAGTCCCACATATATTGGATCAGTCCCCAGATATATTGGATCAGTCCTCAGCTATATTGGATTGCTCCAGTTGTAAATGTAGTGATCCTGTGGCTGGTAGAGATATGATCTGATTGCTTCTCTCCGCGATATCCAGTATCAGTGTATTAGTATCGCTAGTAGTACAGTATAAACTTGTGTGATGCGTTCAGGATTCACGCGGTTATTGTCAGCTTTACCGCACACATGACATGTCCTAAACGGAGTTAATCAAGTCTATCGCACAATTAGTTTCGACAAAACTTGGTGTTAATTCGAGTACCGACTTTGTTTTCCCGAAATATTGATCTTTTTCCCGAACTGCTGTTTTTGTTGTTTTCCGCTTGAGCATGCTTAGGGATGCTTAAAATTGCCAAAGTCTAATGCAATGATTTAGTTTCGATTGGAAAACAGTCAGAGTTACAGCTGACTGTTTAACTCTCCCTCGCCACCGACCTCATCTTCCGAAATGCCAGTGTGATTATTTTCTTCTTGAGCGGGCTAGTAAACGTGTAGATACAATATGGTATTAATTCATTTTAGAATCATTCTTGTCAAGATACACTAGAAATATTACTTTTCAGCCCTCACGCGATTCTAACCGTATCCTTTCGTTTCACCTTTAGAATTGAATCTAAACACTCTATCCCAAACCATGTTACATAATTTCTTTTGAGCTAATGGCAGCTCGTAAACACATATATTCCTTACAAGTTCCTTACAAGTTCCTTACAAGTTCCTTACACGCTCCTTGGGTGTCACTGTCAGTGTTACAAGTTCCTTGGGTGTCACTGCCAGTGTTACACGGCCTTGGGTGTCACTGTCAGTTTTATACGGTCCTTGGGTGTCACTGTCAGTGTTACACGTTCCTTGGGTGTCGCTGTCAGTGTTACACGTTCCTTGGGTGTCACTGTCAGTGTTACACGTTCCTTGGGTGTCACTGTCAGGGTTACACGTTCCTTGGGTGTCACTGTCAGTGTTACACGTTCCTTGTGTGTCACTGTCAGTGTTACACGTTCCTTGGGTGTCACTGTCAGTGTTACACGTTCCTTGGGTGTCACTGTCAGTGTTACACGTTCCTTGGGTGTCACTGTCAGTGTTACACATTCCTGTGGTGTCACTGTCAGTGTTACACGCTCCTATGGTGTCACTGTCAGTGTTACAAGTTCCTTGGGTGTCACTGTCAGTGTTTCAAGTTCCTTGGGTGTCACTGTCAGGGTTACACGTTCCTTGGGTGTCATTGTCAGTGTTTCAAGTTCCTTGGGTGTCGCTGTCAGTGTTTCAAGTTCCTTGGGTGTCACTATCAGTGTTACACGGTCCTTGGGTGTCACTGCCAGTGTTACACGCTCCTATGGTGTCGCTGTCAGTGTTACACGTTCCTATGGTGTCACTGTCAGTGTTACACGTTACTTGGGTGTCTGCACTATCAGTGTTACACGTTCCTTGGGTGTCACTGTCAGTGTTACACGTTCCTTGGGTGTCACTGTCAGTGTTACACGTTCCTTGGGTGTCACTGTCAGTGTTACACGTTCCTTGGGTGTCTGCACTATCAGTGTTACACGTTCCTTGGGTGTCACTGTCAGTGTTACACGTTCCTTGGGTGTCACTGTCAGTGTTACACGTTCCTTGGGTGTCACTGTCAGTGTTACACGTTCCTTGGGTGTCACTGTCAGTGTTACAAGATCCGTAGTCATCCCATAGACGTTCACCAGATATTCCTTCTGCGTCACTGAGTCTCATGTTTAATGCCTGTTTAATCTTTGCAGATTCAGTCAGGACTCATAATAGACTTTACTTGCTTGTATCTCGAGTTAGGAATATAAGGTTGTGTACTTCTGTTCGCTTGTCAGTTATCAGAATATATATTTTATACTTGCTAGAGTCAACATCGAAATAGAAGGTTTTTACGTTGTGATGTTTCTGATGAAACATAATATGCCTATATACATTTTACGTTGAAGAAACTCCAACATCACTTTGAAACATATGCCTATATGCGTATATACATTTTACATCACTTTGCTTATTGTTTTAGTCGGATTATTAACGCCGCCTAGCAGCCTAACCAGCATATCATCACTGATCAGACCTTTGATTGATACAGTGTAACCTAGCAACAGTTGCTATGTGACTACGAACTAGTGTCTAGCTGTTTTGCGATTTAGTATTAATATTATGTCTTGTTTTTTACCTTTTACAAGCTTTTAATCTCCAATTTATATATCGTACTTAGCACACTGTCACACTGTCACACTGTCACACTGTCACACTGTCACACTGTCACACTATCAGAGCATCTAAGACAGGGTTGAATCCAATAAAGTAGACTTTCTCAGAACGAATCTAGACTTTCTCAGTTCTCACAAAAACGAATCTCGTTTAATTAATGATTTTGTAATGAGATAGACAACATCACACGTGTAAAGAATGTGTATGGAACGTGTTTTGAGGTAGACGTTCTTACAACCCGCTTGTGGATTTGTGACGCAAGATAAGATAACAATCCACAACACAATAGGTGTCTTATGAATTATTAATGTCTCATCTCTTTCTGGCCGCATTAGATACCTAACAATACCCCCATTTATCTCATGAATAAAGTATAACATATCTCTCACCACTGTGAACTTGTAAACAAACCCCTTCTTTCATCCGTAATTAGTGAGTTAATTGTGCGAGCACCTAATCACCACCATCTTTATCCCTGGGGACCTTTTATAAACCATTATAGTCGCAGACCCTTCATATGAGTTCATAAGTCAGACTTTATTGTTACAGGTCAACATTAGCTGTCTAGCTTTAACTTGTAAAGAAGAGCAGTATTACTAGACAGTAGACAGTTGTGTACGATCTTGTAGAATCCTAGATAATTCCTAACTACTCATTTGCAGTTACATTCTACCCTGTTCACGCACTGTCACGTGACGTTATCACACTGTCACGTGACGTCATAGTACAATTATCACGCACCCACAAGTTGTAGGCCACAATCACGCTACAAATCCGATGTTGTTAGTTGTTACAATTCCTTCACTCGACAAATTTCATATTGGTTGACTTGTAAAACTAAACTAGATACACTTTCCTAATAAATAATTCCTAATTAAACCCGCATTAATTAACTTCCTCAGTTTCACGCTCTACAAATCCAGTGATCGTAGCTCATAATAACTTAATACCTTAATTAATTAAATGATCGTGTGTATAATGTCTCGTAATCACGCACGTCCTACCTACAGGACATTAATTTACACAATTACAGCAACACATTAATCAGGGTGGAACAACTGGCATACGCCAAAATTTCTGGGCGCTTTCTGCAGAATAAATTCAGCTCTATTCTCTCCACTCTCTGCTGCATTCCTCTGTAAATTGTGTGATATTTGTTATTGAAGGATGACGGCACGTGACAGTGTGATGACGGCACGTGACAGTGTGATGACGGCACGTGACAGTGCGTGAACAGGGCATTATGTAACCGCAGATGAGCAATTAGGAATTAACTAGAATTATAGAAGATCCTACACACACAGACACACACACACACAGCTGTCTAGTAGTAATAATGATTTGTATCAGCTTTGCCTTTATCTGTTGACTCTCTGCCACATTCTTCTGTAGATTGTGTGATCGCCTGCAGTGCGATGATAGCTCTTTGTGCGATTTAGTTTCAATTTTATTTTTAGAATTGAATAAGGAACTCGTTAGTAGAGAATGGAATTTGATGAATTTTTGATATTTTCTCAGCTTTGATTCATGAAAAAAAATGTTTCAAAAAACAAAAGATTTGAATTTGTTGTGAGCGTCTTATCTAGTATTACTTTATTCTCCGCTTTTCCTGCTTTTCCAAAACCAGCAATCAATGACGACCGCATTGGCGATTAAGCAACTGGAAATATACTTAAATATTAGATTAATATTGCCTTATTTTATGTGTTCAGTGAAGATGTAGACACCGCTTTATTCCAGTCATCAGTTGTACGAGTTTCTCGTTGATCTACAGTTACCAACAGTAACCTAGCTACTCTGCTACAGTTATCGAGATACTTGTTACCCAGCAACCTGCTACAGTTACCAACGGTTACAAAGGTGCAGTCAACAAGTAACGGTTACATAGCTTCATGGTTGCCTAGATACAGTTCCCCACTACCTAGCAACTCAGCTGTAATCACCTAGCAACTCAGCTACATTAACCTAGCAACTCAGCTACAATCACCAACCACCCCCATCACCATGATCCTTGCATCCAGCGTGTACACCACTAAACGCAACAGAGCCCGTAAAAGAACTCGCTTCAGCCTCGCAATGGGAGAAGTCTACAAGGGAAACTACAGATATCTCCATCCGGATAAATCCCTCTCAACTAAATCTCCCTCCAACGTAGTCGGAGCAATACAAGTACCAGGCTCACCTGTTACTGCGGAGAAGAGACACAGTTTCCATGGTACCAGACGGCCTAGCACGTGTACTACTATATTTGAGGATGCAGCCTGGGTGGATGATGATGAGACGCAGGAGGCCGGGTTGGGGGAGGACTCTTTCGAGGGACTACTCAACAATATAGGGTATGTAGGGGGTTGTTTGTTTGTCTTCCTGTTACTTGTTACACTACCAGTAATGTTCTTGTTACACTTTCTGGTGGTTCTAGTAGCATTATACGGGACTGCATGTAAGTAAGTAATATGTGCATGTATGAAGTAATTTTAAAGTCATATAATTGAAACAGCCCTTTTTTCAAGATTGCTACTGATTTTTACAGTGACCACAAACGATATAAGTGCTGTAGGAAGAAAGGAGCTGGTTAATTAACATTAACTTCAGATGATCCCATCGTGCCCACGTACAATGTTTTACACGACAAATGTTCCCTAAAAGCATTTAAAAGTATGATCATATCTTAAAATAAGTCTTAACTATTCTTTCAATATTTCTTACATTGAGTGCCATCGCTCTTGAATTCATCGCGCACCGCTGGAAAGAATCGTGAATTTTACAATAATCAACGTTTTTTCAGTAAATTGCCCTGCAATTATGTATCAGGTACGTTATTATCCAGTCCATTTCCGGCTCTGTAGTACTTTTCATGTAGCGCGGCTGAGAAATTGTCAGTTATTGGAATCTCACCACAAATCCTATCCAATTAACGAATCTAACATTCACATTAACTACTCCCAACACGTGATCACGTGATCAGCCCACGTGATCACGTGATCAGCCCACGTGATCACGTCATCAGCCAACGTGCTCACGTCATCAGCCAACGTGCTCACGTCATCACGTCATCAAGTGACAGCGCACGTGATCACGTCATCACGTGATCAGCCCACGTGGGATTAGTTATAATCTTCAGGTTTTCTTTAATCTTGTTTACTGTTATCAGCTTCAGAGTAGTTGTTAATCACGTATAATTAACGAATCTGAGGTCAAAAGGGGAAATAGTTATCAGCTTTGTTTTATTGGACCGTGGGTTTACTATGATTTTCTTATGCAAATATTATATGCTTAACCTCATAAATTTTCGCATAATTTTGTAGTATTTGCTGTGGGCTTATAGTGGAGGTTGTGTACTGATAAGAGAAAATGAACCCTTTGCTTTTGAGTCCAATAGTAGAGTAAGTCGCAGTCTTATTCATTGTTTCCTCTTTCAATAACACAAATTGAGGTTTGTATGAAGGTCTGGTATGTCTGATATGCGTATATCTGATGTCTGGTATGTCTATATCCAATGAATTGAATTTTTCCTAAAAGTCAGACTCGCGGCAACAGATTCATCCTGGTACTCACCATTGTCCACAAATTTTAAGATACGTACCCGTCTGCGATATTCAAAAATAAATAAATATTTCAAAGAGTAGTAGAATAGTATAGCTATTTTATACTGTTACAGTCGCAACATGTCACCCTTTAGACATTATTGTGGGTATAAAGCTATGTTACCCTGTGATCTGCAGCTACAAAATGTCTCGACCGTCATGATATACTGCTGCTGAGGGTAAATATTTAGACGCTGCACAGAATGCCGCTCACTCTGCAAGCAATCTACCCTCCGCAAGCATTCTACCCTCTGGTATGTCTGGGCATTATGGGTTTACAAGAAGACTCTTTACGACCGTAACTTGTGAGACATGGTGTAACTTTTAAGACAAAAGATTAATTTTAAGGCTTTACAATTAAATTACCCGAAGTAATGTCGGGTTTATTACGACGAAAGACAGTAAATGTTTAAGCTGAGCAATTCAACTTCAAATGTTAGATTTAAATTTTAATACTCTTAGACCTAGTAGGCAGCATTTTTGTGGGGAAAATTTAGAAATACAGCGGCAAAGTTTGTTTTTTTCATTTATCCTTTAAAAATTGTTCATCGAAATTGAGAGAAAAACAAAATATCATTTTTATCCAATGTGAAACAATTATGAAAATAGAGCGGAATAATTTTTATTTTTTCGTTAGTCATATAATAGAAATTTCGAATAAATAATAAATAAGTGGATCAAACTTCCACCAGATCCGTCCACCTTACAACTCATACTATCACTTATTGTGCATCCCTGTAAATACCTGCAAGAAGAAACTAGTTTAATCACGTATTATAACAGAGCCAGGATTGCACTGATCCCTGTGAAACTCTATTAATCACGTACTATAACAGTACGTATGTGATTACCACACCACCACCACGTTTTTGTAATCCCACTTGTCGGTACTCAGTTCCTAGCTGCACGGACACTAAACGTAAATTATAATTAAAATTTGTTATGTTACACATCATATGTTAGAGACGTTGTATTTTACCAACCGCTGCTGTTAAAGTTGTGTTTGTACGTTGAGTGCAGCTTGTTGGATTTAATCTCAGAAAAGTGTTCTGATTGTTTGGTTTTGTGTCACGTGAATAAATCCTTGTTGGTTTAATCTCAGAAAAGTGACTGTTAGTGTCTATAGTGTGATTAGAGGATGGCTTAGGATCCGGTATCCACTACAACTACAAGGTGAGACATCTTTTACTAGAGTTTGTTCACAATTTAGTGAGTGCAATACCAAACATCTGCAGCTTAAATCCTATGTTCCGATTGGTTGGTTCGTGTCACGTGACTAAATCCTGTGTTCTGATTGATTGGTTTGTGTCACGTGACTAAATCCTGTGATCTTTAGGACTCTAACTCTCTGTTCTGACCTAATGACCTAATCTGGCTATGAGCCAGACTATATTTTCAGTAAATAACTTTAAAGAATTAACCCTTGCATTAGCTCCTATTCAAAATACTAAAATGAACAATAAAAGAAATTTTAAAGAAATACTGAATAAGATTAAAAAATTAAAACATATATATGACTAAAGGGGTTTAGTATGAATCACGAATCACGATTTTCATCCTTTGAGAGATCCAAGGTGGACCGGTCCCTCACCTCACCTTACCGTGGACATCCTGTGTCACATTGCCAGGTTCCCATTAAATAAACACTTGATATGACTCTAAAAGTCATGCGCCAACATGAGCGATCGCTAATAAATAACGTCAGTTACCACGGACAAGCAAACCTGCACCATGAACACAACCATTACTATTACTGTTACCAACAATGACTGCTTGGGCTTGTAGTCAGTATAAAGACACCGCGGTTATCATGAACGCGAATACGTTTGTCACTAACACAGCATATCATGAACATGACGACAAGTCACGACTATATTCTGTACCGTGATTATCATGTTATATCATGAATGCTCAATGACCAATACAATCAAATATATCAGGGGACTACTAGCTCGTCAGAGGGGGGTACCACGATTAACTACCAGTGTGTCTCTGCTGCCTTTGTTACACTATTTACCAGACTGCTAGAGATGGATTTATACAGTTACCTAGCTACAGTTACCTGGTTACCCGCCACACTTACCCCTATAAGTAACCAATTTACAGTTACCTAGCAACATTTACCTGGTTACCCGCTACACTTACCTCTATAAGTAACCAATCTACAGTTACCTAGCAACAGTTACATGGTTACCCGCTACACTTACCTCTATATGTAACCAATCTACAGTTACCTAGATACAGTTACCTGGTTACCCGCTACACTTACCTCTATAAGTAACCAATTTACAGTTACCTAGCAACATTTACCTGGTTACCCGCTACATTTACCCCTATAAGTAACCAATTTACAGTTACCTAGCAACATTTACCTGGTTACTCGCTACACTTACCTCTATAAGTAACCAATCTACAGTTACCTAGATACATTTACCTGGTTACCCGCTACACTTACCTCTATAAGTAACCAACCAATCTACAGTTACCTAGCAACAGTTACCTGGTTACCCGCTACACTTACCTCTATAAGTAACCAATCTACAGTTACCTAGGTACTGTCGCTACCTAGCTACAGTTACCAAACTGCAGCAAGCTGCCATCGTACCAACAACATGGTCCACCATTAACTGTCACACTTATACTTTCCTTTGTCACTACAATACTCACCAGACCACTGGGAATTAGCACGAGTTATAATATTACTTATACTACCCAGGATATATCACACATTTAGGTACAGTTATCACACGTTTAGTCACACTTTAGTTACAGTAACCTAGATACAGTTGCCTAGCTACACTTTAACTCTTTGAGTAGGCTAAAACGGAGGTATTATAGCGAGTTAACGGCTTATTTAGTATCCCGGATGCTCATAATCCAGCTGCTTTCCGGGGCCTTTGCCACTAATTCTCCACTATTCTCCACTTTGCCACTAATTCTAGCCTGCTGAATGCTTTATTGTTTATCTCGTTATACAGTGGGATTTCTACCACGCATTATGTTGGGTATTTCTTTGAAAAATATGGTCAACTTTCCATCTTGTTTTACAGTAGCACAAATTTGATTACCATAAAATTTATTACACGTCAATAGTGAGACCCCCTGTTATTTTCCACAGATATCAGTCGATTGGTTTAGCTCCCAACAAACATCTGACTATTTAGCCACTTCCCAGCAGATATTAATTACTGTGATCAAATAAGTAAAGTATTTAATCAAATAAGTAAAGTATTTTAATTATCACTGCGTACTCGTAAGGGGCACGGAACCATTTCTGGGTCCCTGGAATCTGTAGAAACTGATGATAAGGGCCTGAATCCTGATGATATGAGGGTCACCTAACCTAGGGACTACTTGTGGGGCATGAGTTCTCCGCATTCACACGGCATCTCGTTCTCTTGTGCTGGTTAACGGATGAACCAACCACCCGTCAACAATATTCACCACGCTTGAAATTCTTTATTAATTTCTGTTGTTTCCCATACCCCCCTCGGAGTATTAGTGAGTTAGTGGTATACATGTTGTATTGCTTGCGGAGGGTTCTGGTGGTTGTGTTATCTTTTGTTGAGGATCGTGTTTAATAAATTGTGGTGGTATGCTCTGATAGATCATACGTCGAGTAATCCATGTTGACTGTTCAGTATTCACTATTCAGTTTTATTATATCTTTATATTATGTTTTTTATCATATAGTTTTTCATTATTATGTCTTTTGTTGTTTTTATTTGTGCTATTTTTTTAAACGTGGAAAT